TGTGTGTGTGTGTGTGTGTGTGTGTGTGTGTGTGTGTGTGTGTGTGTGCGCCCGTGTGTGCCTGCAGGCATACATGCTCATGAGCATGCACTGATCCTAGGGCTTGAACTCAGGGCCTGAGCACTGTCCCCAGAGCTTTTCTGCTCAAGGTTGGTGCTCTACCTCTTGAGCCACAGCTCCACTTGAAGCTTTTTGCTGGTTAACTGGAGATATGAGTGCCATGAATATTCCCACCCTAGCTGGCTTCAAACCACAATACTCAGATCTCAGCCTCAGAGTAACTAGGATTATAGGCCTTGCTAGAGAAAAAATTTTTTTCAACAAATTGAACTCAGGGCCTAGACACTATCCCTCATTCAGCTTTTGTGCCCAAAACTAGCATTCTACAATTTGAGCCACATCTTTATTTCTGGTTTTTTGGTAGTTAATTGGAGATAAAGAGTCTCATGGGCTTTCCTGCCCATGCTGACTTCCAACAGTAATCATCAGATCCCAGCCTCCTGGGTAGCTAGGATTATAGAGTTAAGCCACCAGTGTCTGCAGAGCAAGTTTTCATACCTGAGGCAGGGGTAACAGTGAATTGAGACCAGAGGATAATGAATTGGATGGAAGGCCATCCTGATCCATACAGGGAATCACTGTCCAAGTGGATTACCTCTCTTTTTTCTCATTTATGAGACGGTAATAAAATAGCCATCACTCATCTACAAGGCAATATGGGAGGGTAAGTGAGAATATTGAAAGGAGTGACACCGACCAGGATGCATTTATTCATAAACTGCTTTGTTGAATGGCAACTCCTTTATATAGCTACTTAAAGGTAATAAGTAGAAAATATATAAAAATAAATAAAATAAAAAAGGCAATATAATTCACTACCTGAATTAGAACCTTAATAACATACAATGCAAGCTTGAAGAGATCAGGGAATCAAGGCACTTTCCTCCCCAGCTACTACAACAGTGTCTAACACCCAGCGAACACCTGGTAAATATTTGCTGAACAAATGAAAGTGTCTACCTGACACAGTAGAAACAAAATTTAACCTTGTTTCTCTACCCTTTTGCTTTTTAAGTATTCCTTTTAGGCGCAGATACTGTTTTCCTCTGGTTTAAGATGCTGTTTCAGAACAATATGAGTAAGTAACATAACTACTAAACTGCATCTCACAGTTGTTGGTTAGCTCACTGTGAAATTAGCACCAGGAGAAAACCAAAAGGCTCAGGAGCCTAAATCTGCCAACCATTATATGGGAGAGAAACATCCTGAGACTAGGGCTGTTTTACTGCTTCCTGTTGTTAATAAAATGATGCTTCCAGCTGTAATTTTATGTCCTCACCAAAAAAACATTACAAACGATAGGAAGGGAAAGTATGGTCCTTGTTTGCATGTTTGATCTCACTTAAAGAGATAAGATGAACTCCAGAGATGAAAACAAGCATCACTACTTCTAACACCACAACATAAACCTGGTCCTAAGAACTTAAAAGTCCCAGATGAAACAGTATTAAAAAAATTTTTTTGTTGTTTTTTTTAGGTTGTGGGGCTTGAACTCGGAGCTTGGGCACTATCCCTCAACTCTTCAGCTCAAGGAGCGCGCTCTACCGCTTGAGCCACAGCGCTGCTTCCACTTTTGTAGTGCTTTATGGAAGATAAGAGTCTCATGGACTTTCTTGCCGGAGCTGGCTTTGAACTGTGATCCTGAGATCTCAGCCTCCTGAGTAGCTAGGATTACAGGTGTGAGCCACTGGCGCCCAGCTAAAAAATTTTTTTAATTTAAAGAATAGATAAACTATCACAGACCTGTAGCCCCAGTTACTCTAGAGGATGAGACAGGAAATTCTCTTACGTGTAGGAGTTTGAGGCCAGTCTGAAAAAAACTCAAATAATAATAGTAACAATAATAATAATAATAAATAATCTTGAAATGTTCTAAAAAACCAACTGTTTAGAGTATCTTGTTCTTTTATTTTTTTTGGTTCACAAAATAATTACTATGAAAACTAAAATAAATTGTTCTGGGTTACAAAGCAGCATTTTCTGTCCTTCCAATCAAAGTTCTACATTCACACTAACACTAGTACCAATATTCCAGCAGA